TTACTCTAAAAAAGTAATTATTACTAGTTACTAATTACCTATTCAACAGTGTAATTAGATTACTGTACTAATTAACTCTCTCTAAAAAGTATTTAATTACTTTTAATTACTTTCAAAATCCCATATCAATCTCAACCAGCTGAATAATACAAGGATAGACATGAATCTGTTTTAATTCTTTCAAATAAATACTATAAAATTGCATGAATTATCCTTAAACTGACCAAGGTGGAGAAGGTTACATTATAAAAACATCAGACAATACATTTTGATGTTAAACCCACTATTGTTTTATGTCTGATCTCATGACATTTCACACTTTTTTTCATACATATTTTACAATAATTCATACGAATTTGTACGAGTGCGGTCGTAATATTTAGACACCTCGAATCGCTGTGAGATCAGATTGATCTATACACAGTATTTACCTCAATTACATCAGAAGTAACTGTAATTAAATTACAGATAAATTAAGAGTAATCCCTAACTTTACATTTTCAAGGGAAAAGTATTTAAATTACAGTAACTAATTACTTAGTAATTAGTTACACCCAACACTGGCTCAATTCAATCCGTTATTCTTCCGTAACCCTAAAATGAAGTCATAATTTACCTATCCTGGTGTTATTTAAATACAATATGCCCTTTTTTTCTTTTATGGACCACAAAAGGAGAATAAAAAGAAGAAAAAAAAAGCAATACATTGATTTTCATTAAATACAAACAGTTTTGGTTGTGTTTTTACCAAACCCTATCAAATACCACCAGAACACTTTTGCCAGTTTGCCAGTTTATCGAGTTTATCGTTTGCCAGTTAATCGAATAGTCAGAAAGTTTTTGTGTGGACCTAAACGCAGACCTAAGCCTTTAAAATGACGTAAAATACACGTATAAAAAATATTATTCGGTTCAAAACATTATTAAAAGTGTCAAACGCAAGTAATATTGTGTTATAGAACAATACTATTAAAATACATAATATAAACAATAGGGCTGTCAAACGATTAATCGCATCCAAATTAAAAGTTTGTGTTTACATAATATATGTGGGTGCACTGTGTATAATTATTTTATATATATATATATATATATATATGAAGAGTTCAGATGCAAAAGCCTCTAAATGCCATTTGAAATTTTCTTCTTTAATGATGATTTTTATCAAACTTGTATATTTAAGTTCAGTGATTTCACTTATATAACAATAACAATTAATACGTAATTATCATTGCCATTTAAGTGAAATCACTGAACTTAAATATACAAGCTTGATAAAAATGATCATTCTAGAAGAAAATTTCAAATGGCACTTAGAGGCTTTTGCATCTGAACTCTTCATACATGTATATATATGTGTGTGTGTGTGTGTGTGTGTGTGTGTGTGTGTATATATATATATATGTGTATATATGTAAAAAAACATGCTTGTATCTATTTAAGAAATATTTTCATGTATATACTGTATATAGATTTATATATCATTTATATTATATAGAAATATAAATATTTTATATATAAATAATATTTTTGTATATATATATGTGTGTGTGTATATATATGCGTGTATAATATATATGTTTAACCCTCAGGTGCTCTTTCGGAGCGTTTTTTTTTTTTTGCGTTTCGGAGTCACACTTGTTATCTTCCCGGTCAAAAGTGACCGGACACCTAAAAATTAAATTTCCTCCATCCCAGTAAAACCATTGCAATTTATTTTGTTCTGTAATATTTATTCTTTCTAATTTAATATTTTGAGACAATTTGATTGAATTTCTTAATATTTATGCAATAATTATGGTCTATTTTTGCCATGGAAAAATATATATATTTTTCTATATATATATATATATATATTATTATTTTGTAAAAATTATAAAAAAAAAATTATGAATGCAGTATTTAAGTTTAATATAGAGTCTAGGCCTTCAGAAAAAAATATTTTTGAAGAAAATTAGCAAGCGTAGAATCATGGTGTAACCACTAGATGGCATGTACAGCTCTCTATGGAGAAGCATGTGAATTTCCCAGATGTTTATGAACATTTTTTTTGGTGGATTTGAATATATAGTTGAAACAATCTAAAAAACGATATTTTATTAAAAAAATGTACGAAATAAATAAATAAATAAATAAAAATTTGTGAATTTTTGTGTTTTTGTCAATTTCCCATTCATTTCCTATGGGGGTAATTTTTGACCAAAGACCACAAGTGTGACTATTTTTTTTTTTTAAACCACTTAGCATGCTCAGATCATGACCTCAATTTTTTTGTGTGTTCACATACATAATGCCATAAAAGTCACTAAGTTTCGTAATATAACAATGAAGCTGTGATTTTTAAAATTTTAAAACAGAAAATTTTTCGGTCAGAAATGATCGAAGAGCACCTGAGGGATATATATGTGTATATATATCATATAATATGTATGTGTATATATACTGTATATATATACCAACAAATTTTCTGGTGTTTTTTACACTTCCACAAACTAAATTCCTTTTCTCCTCCCATTCACATCGCACAAACTAATACAAAATGGCACGTCATGTTGATATGTTTGCCGTCATGTCTCGACAGATTCAGATGCCCACAGCACCACATCCAGTATGTCTCCTTCTCAGTCTCCCAGCCACAGTAACCAATCAGACGACGGCTCTGACATCGAGACCAAACAGAGACGTCCGACCCCGTCTGGGTTCTCCTTTCTCGACCTGTCCTACTGGAAGAGGTATTCTTCTTCTGTTCACTAATGCGTGTTGACACCCTAGTGGTCGAGCAGAGGAATAACACCATCGATGCGTTTCAGGCAAAAGGTGTGCTGCGGGATCGTCTACAAGGGGCGTTTCGGTGAGGTGATCATCGATCCTCGTCTCTTCAAGCCCTGCTGTAACAAGAAGCGTCCCGCTCTGGCGTCCTCCTCGGACTCTCAGCTCTCCCAAACACTTCCTTCCCCTCTCCCAGAGGTCATGAAGGAGGCCTGGTGATCCACCTATCACACCCTCCTTGAGGCCCTCATAGCTTTGTCTCCAGTGGTAGACTCTGATATCTTCCCTTTGTTAGATAACTGTGTATGAGTTGAGTTTTTCCCCAATGCTTTTGTATTATTATTTTTTTACGCCTATTTTGTAAAATGTCATTTTTGTACCTTTTTTATAAATATATATATATATATATATAACCGGAAAAGGAGAACAAATTGGGCATTAGGACATATTTATAGGTCTGAGTTAGGAAATGTAATCCATTTTTTTTATTACTGTAAATTTTTTTGTGGGAGTTACCAGTGTTTTGTAAATATAATCTTATTTTCCATTCCAGTGCACCAAAAGACTTCTATTTGGCATTTAGTTTCACGGGTTAAAGATGAATAATGTAAAGTGCTATAGATAACATTACAGCCAAGGCATTATTAATGAGATGGGTGTACTTTTAACTTAAGCAAATACAATATTTTACCTTGCATTCTGCTCTGTTAAATCACACACACACACATGCATTTACTCAGAAGGTTTCTTTGGGCACAATATTCACAATGTGAACTTTGGACACATGCTTGTAAAATCTCATTTATTTCTGGTTTGGCATAAAGATGTTTCTCAATATTTAAAATAATAGTTACGGGTTTGTAAATCTTTAAAACCAAGATGCTGGAGCGCATTATCTCAGAGTATTTAAACGGTTATCATTTACACAATGGCATATGAAAGCATGCATAATGTATTTGTAGGCATGATCCGTTTTATGACTGTTGGTGGTGTTTTTTTTTATGTTATTGAATGAGAGTGTTATAATACAGAAAGTAAAAGATGAATTTCCGACTGGCTTTACACTGTGTTTTTAACCACGTTTTCCATGTTGTACACTAAATCGAAGATGAAATTGTACAGTCTTTCAGCCTTGATATACTGACCGCAGCCTTTGTTTTTGTTTTGTTTTTATTGTTACAGTTTGGATTAATCAAAATGTTGTCGATGTGACAGAAAAGCCTTTTTTGGGCGGGGGGAAATTGCTCTGAACTTCAGCAAGATTGTGGAGTTTATGAATTTGGTTGGGTTATTATTTGAATGAATGTTTATTTTTATTCACCAGCAATACTTTGAGTCAACTTTAGTGTTGACTTAATGCTCTCGTTCTCAAAATGCTCGAGAGCGAATACAAGATGTCGATAAATTTCAGGGAAAAAAAATGTTTTTTGACTATTAATGTGGCACATTCTCAGTCAATGTGCCTTACCAGAGATTTAGCTGATCATTTCATTATGTTCATTTTTTTAACTTATGCTATTTATTCAAAGCTGTCTGTACAATTAATGCTGTAATGAATTTTTTGTTGTGCACTTTCTTTTTTATACTTTTTGTAATATTACCATTGATAAAATTTTGTATCTCAATTTTCCTCACATTGGTATTTTCATAAAACTTTTAAAGTAAATCTTGTCTTTGTCAGTTTTTGGTAGTCTTCAATATATATATATATATATATATATGTGTGTGTGTGTGTGTGTGTGTGTAAATTATTAAATATGGGGAAACTGGAAACACAAGAGGGATTTTCCTGGAGGCACACCAACACTACACATTTTCCAACTCTTCCTAATCAATCACACCTGAATCAACTCATCAGCTCGTTAGTAGAGACTCCAAGACCAGAAATATGGTTCAGAAAGGGGAGACTTCCAAAATCTGCACTGTTGGTGTGACTCAAGGAGCAAGGCTGGGAAACACGTAAGTAGAATATGTTGAGGACACTCAAAGTCGGACATTCAGCCTGTGAACTCGGGATCTTTCGATGGCGTCACTTCTAAGATGTCGGCCTGCCTTCAAGGGCATAAACGTAAAAACAAAGTTTATGTAATAATTCCTTGCTTTTTGCTTTTCATAATTGCTTTCAAACCGATTTTATGTCGTTTTTATTCTGTTTTAGCATATTTTACACTTTAAAATATGGCGAAACGGAATAACAATGCTCTCGTTGTGTCTTGGCGACATCATGTGGTCAACATGTGAACGACAGTCTGAACGGTCTCAAGTGGGACGTTTCATTTGGGAGATTCCCAACCTCGTTTCCTAGTTGGAAAATAGGACATGAACGACCTCTCAAGTCAAAATTTGAATGCGATAATCTCTTCTTCAGAAGTGGGAAGTAGGACATTTCCAATAGCGCGTGAAGGCAAGATAGCCCAGACAGCCCATATATCGCCTTTCTGAGGGGAAAATGGCATAATGTTGAGTTTAAATCGAGCCAATCTATTTATATTGATATATAAACTCGGAATTGCGAGGGAATTGCAGAATTGTGAGATAAAGCTCATAATTTTGTTCTTTCATTCCGTGGCTTCCCTACTGTCTGCCACAAAAGTGTGCTTTCGGTTTCTGAACACTAGATGTCGCCGAAGATCATCAGATATTCATCAGAACACCACTTCTGCTACCCATAATCCCTCATACCTCAGAGTTATCAAAATCCACTGAGACAATTTTAATCTCATCATTGTATTGCTACTCTTTTCATCTTTTTTTCTTGTTAACCCATGTGTAGTTATTGTTTTCTAATATTTGTTGTTTGCTGAGCATAGTGACTTTTTCTAATCTCGTTGTTTACAAATATTACGCTATATTGTATTTTGAGTTCTCCTGTTAGTTTATTTGATCGTTCTTTCATTTAAGAGCAAGCACCCCCAAATATGATAAAAAAATATAGTGTTTTCTAAGAATAATTAATTTTTTTCATTGTACTAAATTAAATATATATAAAGTCATCAGGTTTTTATTTTTACCCAGTCAAGTCACTTTTATTTATATAGAACTTTATATAATACAGACAGTTTCAAAGCAGCTTTACTGTGATAGGAAAATAATGCATTACGGCTGTTGTTCAGTTCAGTTTCATTGTAAAGTTAGAATGTTTGAGATTTATTTATTTGCATTGAATGAATATATGAATATAATTATCATTGAATTCACAATGAATATAGAGTGAGCCAGAAGTGACAATGACAACGAAAAAAAAAAAAACTATTCTGGAATTTAATTAAAAAAAGGATATATCAACATTTAGAAATAAATACCCCCCTCTCCCCCCATTAAATCTATATGCAGACTTCCCATAGCGCCCCCTTACAGTCATCCGAGGCTCTGCAGACCCCGGGTTAAAAATCACAAAGATCTAAATGAGTCAAATATGAACACAAAAGAAAAACATGAAGTTTTGATCATAGAGGGTCTCCAGAAGGCCGTTGGCTATCTTGTCGTCACATATTCTTCATTGCTCTGGAAGCTGACCTGAATGGTGCCTTTAGACGAGATGTGTTCCTCTTTCCGTGTTTGACACGTTAGAGTCAAAAACCAGATGAAAATAAAGATGCCTAGAGGACGAAGAGAACAGTAATGCATGTCAAATTTTCACTTTTTGTATTAGTGTCAAAGATGTCTTTCATCAAGAGTCCCTGCTTCACAAACACAAATCTAGTAAATAAACACCTGGCACTTCATGCAAAAAGTGTACAAAATAAGCCTTTAAAAATGCTTTTTTTTTTTTTTTTTTTTTTTGCAAAAGCCACCTCTCTAGAATACATTTTTCTGATTAACTGTAGATACACAGAATGGCTTTTCTGAGATAAAACTATTGTTTTCTATTTGTTCACAAGCGGTTTTACTGACGTCTTTCCGTGGTTGAAACTCTGATATGATTATATGAGATTATATGTCTTGTCAGACAGTGTGTTATCAGTGTCATCGATGGTCTGCAGTGTGAAGATGGGTGTGTTGCATGAGAGCTATAGAACGGTGGCAATCGTGTGTGTGTGTGTGTGTGTCACAGTCAGGCTGAATGTGTGGGACTCGTTCAAACAGGCTATAATATGGACATGTTCTCAAGTTAAAGGAGTAGTTCACTTTAAAAAAAAAACAAACTTTTGCTGATAATTTACTCACCCCCATGTCATCCAAGATGTCCTCGTCTTTCTTTCTTCAGTCGAAAGAAATGAAGGTTTTTGATGAAAACATTCCAGGATTTTTCTCCATTTAATGCACTTGTCTATACTCGTTCATCAAAATGAACAAATCTTTTTCCAAGTCAATTCGTTCAATTCGTTCGTTGAATGAACCAAATGACACGAAAAAAGATTTGTTCATTTTGATAAACGAGTTCGAACAGGAGAGTCACGAATGCTCATCACAGCCATTTGAGCTTATAAAACTTAAACTTTGTTATTTATTTATTAAATGAGCGATCGTTTCGCTAGATTAGACCCTTATTCAAAGTTTGGAATCGTTTAAAGCTCTTTGAACGGTTTGCATTTTGCCCTGAAACTGCAAAATGAACTCTTGAACCGTTTGGTTCCCATTGATTGAAGTCCATTTTATAGAGAAAATCCTGGAATGTTTTCATCAAAAACCTTAATTTCTTTTCGACTGAAGAAATAAAGACATGGACATCTTGGATGACATGGGGGTGAGTACATTAGCAGCAAAAGTTTTTTTTAAAAAGTGAACTACTCCTTTAAAGGAGAAAATAAAGGCTTTTTTTCAAAAAGGTGAAATGAAATAAGGAAATAAAATTGTAGGGTGGCCAATCAGATCTCAGTGATATCAAGTGCCACGGTGAACTGGATTCACTTAGTTGGTCCTGGAACAACATTCCAATCAACCAATCAGATTTGAGGGACAAGTTTACAGTGCATGTTTAGGCTTAGGGACAGTGTTAGGACTTCATTTTGATTTTGGACAGGAATGTTGTTCCAGGATCAACAAAAATCCTTGCTTGGCAAAACCCCCTCTCGCTCCGTTACGGCACAAGCGGCACTAATACACATGCCATTTTTACTTCTGATTTATTAAGGGAACATCTTGGGAATTTTATAATGATATAACATTTTGGTATATGGTCATTTCGTGGCTAAATTATTTGATTTCGATTTTTTTTTTTTTTCTGGTGAAAGAAATACATAAATGAGGAAGACAAAATATTAAATTTAATGAATGTATTTTTACTGAGTAATCCACTGTTTTGTAGAGGAGGGTCAAAATGGGTGGTTCAAATGACTTAAAAAGATATTCATTATTATTTTAGTTGACTTAAATCTTTGTTCCATTAAATATATCCTTTTAGATTCTGGTTCTCAAAAAAAACTTTTCTTTCTGTATCTTCATTTTAAAGGCCCTAGATGGTTCAATCCCAGAGATATGGGAATCGTAATGCAGGTTCATGAGTAAATTGCTCAATCATACATCATTTTCAATTGGTCACTTTGCATATTTATGTTTGTCTTTCTTCAGAAAAAAATATGAACAAAATCATAAATTTAGTATTTGTTTGGCTTCATGTGGAAATACACTCTTAGAAGAAATGGTTCTATTTAGAACCAGAAATGGTTCCATCCCCCGCTTCATATATGGAATTCCAAAATGCTTCTATATAGAACCTTTTTTTTGGTAAAAGGTTCTATTGGCCAAGTACGGAACCCCAGGGTTCAATATAGAACCCAGAGGATTCCTTTTTTAAGAGTGTATAGAACCTTTTAGGGGTTCCAAATACGTAGCGCTGATAGAACCTTTTAAGGTTCTATATAGAACCTTTTCTTCTAAGTGTGTATGGTACACAATTGCAAAAAGTGTCCCACCATAACACTAGAAAAAGGAAAAAAAGAAAGAAAAAAACACATGCTTTTGTTTCAGTGCGCATTGAAACGAGTTCTTACCCTGGAAACCGTTAAGAACGGTGAACACATAGAGCGAAGTGAGACTCAATGGGCCGTGTGTGAAGAAGGCCATACCCCACGGCACTCCCAGAACACAGCAGAGTCCCAGTAGAGACACCCAGTCTTTCCATGCCCTCCTCTGGTCTTTAACCTGAAGAGCCTGTGATCTCAACTTGCGCATCTTACCCAGCACCACCGCCAGCATGGCCATGTTGAAGAGCAACACCAGTCCCAGATAACCGTTCACTGTAATGTAGCTCACTGTCGGTGTGGTCACCCAGCATCTACGCCATAATAAAACACACACGCTCAAGAGATGACGCAGAAAGAGAAGTGCAGTGTCATTTGAATAGATAGACCTTACAGAGATGTGGCTGTCGAGTTTTCTTTATCCGTGTGAAAGGAGTATTTTCCATACGCTTTAGTCACACCGCATATCATCACTGTAAACGTAGGAACACCTGTAGGAGAAGATTAATACAGTATAGAAATCAATGATCATTCACACTGAGACACCCAGGAGCCATAGAAATGCTTGCGGAAAACTTATGAAATTTGGCACACGGATAGAGGACAGTCTGAACATTAACCACAGCCGTTTTGGAGTCTTTAACTCTATCCCTCTAGCGCCACCAACTGGCAAAAGATTGACTTATGATTATGGTGTAAGGGCTAGAAACAAATCTTTTTTCCCTGTGATTCCTTTTGGCTCAAGATGATTCGATTGCATGCCCTGAAGGTGCTGAAAAAGTAGCTTGGCAGCGCCACCTTTTGGTCAAAAGCTATCATGAAATTTCCATTAACGCTAATAATGCTTGGATTTAGAGGCCGACCGATGAAGGATTTTGAAGGTCGATACCGTAATTGGTAATTGGGCTGTTTTGAGTAGTAATTGGTTTGGATATGAGTAGTAATTGGGCTGGTTTGAGTAGTAATTGGGCTGCTTTGTAATTGGGCTGTTTTGAGTAGTAATTGGTTTGGATATGAGTAGTAATTGGGCTGGTTTTGAGTAGAAATTGGGCTGGATATGAGTAGTAAATGGGCTGGTTTGAGTAGTAATTGGGCTGGTTTGAGTAGTAATTGGGCTGGTTTGAGTAGTAATTGGGCTGGTTTGAGAAGTAATTGGGCTGGTTTGAGAAGTAATTGGGCTGGTTTGAGAAGTAATTGGGCTGGTTTTGAGAGTAGTAATTTGGCTGGTTTGAGTAGTAATTGGGCTGGTTTGAGAAGTAATTGGGCTGGTTTGAGAAGTAATTGGGCTGGTTTTGAGAGTAGTAATTGGGCTGGTTTTGAGAGTAGTAATTGGGCTGGTTATGAATATTAATTGGGTTGTTTTTGAGTAGTTATTGGGTTTTGAGCTGGTTTTGTAATACTGACCTGTTAACTTTGGCCTCAGAATGCAAATTGACGCTAGTGAAGCAGGGCTCTTCATAGGGCTGGTTCACACAGAACGTGTTTGTGCCGTTAAAAACATGAGACACTGATTAATGGAACGGGAAAAAGGTCTATAGATGATTATGTATATGTTATGTATATATGGTCTATAGACGTGTTTTTAAAAATGTGAACTTCTTTTAACTTGAGCACCACGTTTTTATAACGCTTTGTCGTGTGCGAGATGCTTTGGCCTGTTAGACGTCCGTCTAGTGCGTGTTTACATTGAAAAACAATGGGAAAGAAGCCCAAATGGAGGTGAACTGATCCTGAACTGTTGCCCTTGCCATGAAAATTGGATTTAGAGCCCGACCGATGAAGGATTTTGAAGGTCGATACCGATACAAATATTTGTTGGTTTTAAAATCCGATATATCGGCCGATATAAATTTTATTTTTCAAAAAACGCGCAACAAAATATTAACAGATTTCCCTAACATTAGTTATTTGAAGTTATTAATGAGTTTAAATAAAATAATATAAAGCATTTTAAAAATAAACTTGTTTCTTTTATTGTCACATCAGAACAGACTGATGATAGTGGCGTTAGCTAGCTTTGCCCCTTGCGAGACACAGGTGAATGCAGTCAGTAAAGATGAGTCCACGTAGTGAATTATGGGAAATGTAGTGCGTGGCTGATCGTGATAATAGGGTCGAGAACAATTTAATTTGTCATAGTCAGCCAAACTTCCTGTCCACCAATTTGATTCTCTTTAAAAACATATTTTTTTCGAACTTATCCTAGGCCGTCCGTCTGATTTTCACCAAAGTTGAGTCAGGTCACCTTCAGACCAAGCCGGCAAAAAGTTATGGATTTCGTGTCGATAGCCCAAAACTGTTTTTGTGTAACGCATTAACAAAATTGTTGGCAATTGTTGTATTTTAAATGCTTTGGCACTTTGACACCAAACTTTGTCATTGTCACCTCACCACACCAATTTGGTCTACCTATCCCCCCAGCTGGCATTCGACTGACATTAAACGTTTAAATGTTGTCAGTTTATGAAAAAACATTAATTCAACGTCAAAACAACGTTGAACACCATATGGTTGAAGTGGTGTTGTTAACTTACTATGGTTTAAACAATTTTTGAGTTGTATGTCAAATCAACATTATTTGTAGGCTGCAACCTCAAAATTCAACGGTTTTCCACAGTGACTCGACATTAAAATGCCAGCTGGGATTGATTGGAAGTGATAAACCATTAAATCAAATTACGAAGGACTATATTTATGATTTTTCAGGCATTTTGCCAAAAATGTTTTAAATATGTCTTAAAATCATTGTTAGAGTTGGTCTGAATCTCCTAGCCATGATGGCATGAGTTCCCAGACAGCAAACTGACATTGAATCAACGTGGAAACGACGTCTCTCGTGACATCGAAACAACGTCGATTTTGCTCATCGAATTAACGTTGAACCAACGTCAGACGCGGCATTCTTCAAAACTAAATGAAAATCGAAAATTGGTTTGCTTTCATAACGTTGAAACAACGTTGATTTCAAGTTGATTTTCCGCTAGTTTTGAAAGAATGACGCGTCTGACGTTGGTTCAACGTTAATTCGATGAGCAAAACAATGTCAGATCAACGTTGTTCCGATGTCATGTTTCCACGTTGATTCAATGTCAGTTAGCAGCAATTACGTGGCCAAGCACAAAGAAGGCATGATATTTCATTTTGCATATAGATTTTTTTTGTTTGATTCATCCAAATTTCACCAAATTCTTTGATGTTATAAAGTTAATTCCATTTTAATGACTGGATTTTGGATTCCGTCCAATGCGTCGTGGAAATCGTAGGGCGCATGAGTGATGCGGGAATGGTGTATATTGACTTCAGAATGTGAATTTGAACTCACCCCATCCCACAAGACTTAGTTTAAGCATGTATCTCTTGATGTAGATGTTGAAGACCCGCACCAGCAGCAGGTACAGGTTGAAGCCCTCAATGGCTGTCCACGTGAAAGTGGCTAAAAGACACCAGTGTAGGAGAAGTCCTAGAGCCTGACACACTGAGCCAGTGTCTCCTTCACCCGAAAACCACACGCTGCACAAGAACGAGATGTGCAGCAAGAATAAGGAACACGAGAGCTGAACATGAATGAAGACTGAATGCTCACATTTCTTCTTCCTGTTGAGAGAATGGTGAGATGATTATCTATTTAATCTTCATATCTAGATCATCTCATTCTGAAACTGTCAAGGGGCTTACCGTTGACACAGAAACATCACAATCATAAGGGCTGTAAATGCTATTGAAAGGGCTGAGCCAACGTATGAAATGTAGTTGAGATGGATTATATGAGATGCTTCAGGAATTTGAGGACTCTTTCAGAAACAATGAGGACAAAAGAGTGCATTCAAGTCAGTCATGTTTAATATGAAAGTCAATGTTTTAAAAAACAAAAAAGCCATCTTATGACTTACAATGAGCACTGCAAAGAAGCTCAGATGATTACAACTGCACACAAAGTCTCCGTTGTCGATGCTGGTCTCACAACCGTCTGTTCTCCAGTTACCTGACAAACAGAAACACACATTACATGTACACTAAGTCAATGCAAAAACATATATTCGAATGAGAACTGTCAGTAAATTAGGACATTAGTTTCATAATGACTGTTACATAATACAGGTCATTCTCAGGAAACACTGACGTTGCATATGCAACATCTGCTCCACTTACACCTTCAGACTATCTTTCCTGTCAACACAAGTGAATGCGAAGCTTGGTCAACAAATCTTATTTGGCCAGTTGGTTACAGATGAATAAATAAAAACTCCACATGAAGTCATGCAGTCTGTGACAGACAGATTGTTAATCAAACTGATCCAGAAAATTCAAACATTCGCCTTTCATTCATCGACCTCAAACATGGCTTTAGCATTTAAAAGATGTAAATATTAGTCTAAGCCTCTTTACACTTATACTTAGCCACTAAATTTGTACACTAAATTTTTTTTAACCTGCATCTCTCTCTACCCACCTTATTTGTAATGTAAGAGCATGTGCGGCCATTTGTAACTTGAATGTGCGAATGTAACCAGAAAAAAAGAACGAAAAAAATGTTGTTTCTCTTTTCAACCATATAGTGAACTCTTCAAAAAAATGTCCATGGGGTTAAATGTACAATAGTAATTGCTTGGGCTGGGTATGCGTAGTAATTGGGCTGGTTTGAGTAGTAATTGGGCTGGTTTGAGTAGTAATTGGGCTGGGTATGAGTAGTAATTGGGCTGGTTTGAGTAGTAATTGGGCTGGTTTGAGTAGTAATTGGGCTGGGTATGAGTAGTAATTGGGCTGGGTATGAGTAGTAATTGGGCTGGGTTTGAGTAGTAATTGGGCTGGTTTTGAGTAGTAATTGGGCTGGGTTTGAGTAGTAATTGGGCTGGTTTTGAGTAGTAATTGGGCTGTTTTGAGTAGTAATTGGGCTGTTTTGAGAAGTAATTGGGCTGGTTTTGAGTAGTAATTGGGCTGGATATGAGTAGTAAATGGGCTGTTTTGAGTAGTAATTGGGCTGGTTTTGAGTAGTAATTGGGCTGTTTTGAGTAGTAATTGGGCTGTTTTGAGTAGTAATTGGGCTGGTTTGAGTAGTAATTGGGCTGTTTTGAGTAGTAATTGGGCTGGTTTGAGTAGTAATTGGGCTGGGTATGAGTAGTAATTGGGCTGGGTTTGAGTAGTAATTGGGCTGGGTTTGAGTAGTAATTGGGCTGGTTTTGAGTAGTAATTGGGCTGGGTTTGAGTAGTAATTGGGCTGGTTTTGAGTAGTAATTGGGCTGGTTTGAGTAGTAATTGGGCTGGTTTGAGAAGTAATTGGGCTGGTTTTGAGTAGTAATTGGGCTGGATATGAGTAGTAAATGGGCTGGTTTGAGTAGCAATTGGGCTGGTTTGAGTAGTAATTGGGCTGGTTTGAGAAGTAATTGGGCTGGTTTTGAGAGTAGTAATTGGGCTGGTTTGAGTAGTAAATGGGCTGGTTTGAGTAGTAATTGGGCTGGTTTGAGAAGTAATTGGGCTGGTTTGAGTAGTAATTGGGCTGGTTTGAGAAGTAATTGGGCTGGTTTTGAGAGTAGTAATTGGGCTGGTTTGAGTAGTAATTGGGCTGGTTCTGAATATTAATTGGGTTGTTTTTGAGTAGTTATTGGGTTTTGAGCTGGTTTTGTTATACTGACCTGTTAACTTTGGCCTCAGAATGCAAATTGACGCTAGTGAAGCAGGGCTCTTCTAAGGGCTGGTTCACACAGAACGTGTTTGTGCCGTTAAAAACATGAGACACCGATTAATGGAACGGGAAAAAAGCACATGGTCTATAGACGTGTTTTTAAAAATTTGAACTTCTTTTAACTTGAGCACCACATTTTTATAACGCTTTGTCGTGTGCGAGATGCTTTGGCCTGTTAGACGGCCGTCTAGTGCGTGTTTACATTGAAAAACAATGGGAAAGAAGCCCAAATGGAGGTGAACTGATCCTGAACTGTTGCCCTTGCCATGAAAATTTCTTTTGGGCAGAATTAGTGACATAAAACCGGTGCCGTGACCCGGATAGAAGTAAGGTTTAGGAGTTATTTTACCTGTACAAAAACTGTCTGTTATGCTGATTGATATTGCAAACTTATTTCTATATATTCTTCTTTTTTATATTTTTAAGGTTCATTATAATAGTTAAGTAAAATAATAAGCCTCCACGATATATTTAAGTGATTCAATTAATATCATAAAGGTGTGACTATAAACTAATTGCTTAAACGAACGACTACCCGTTGACTATGAAAATCATTCCTCATGGGCAGCCCTATAAACTTTAATTGAAAGCTTGTGCTATATATAAACAGGGCTGCCAACTCTCACACAATTGAGCCAATTCTCACACTCTCACGCCACACCCCCGATTCTCACGCTAAAGTGTCAAGCCTTAGAAAAGTCTCACGCCAAGCTAAAGTTAAAAGTTTAGTTTTGGCAACTCTGTATAACCATACAGTGGTTAAATAAGACCAACTTTGTCCTTCCTTCTCTTAAAACCTCAGACTTAAGTTGTGTTCTTTATCTGCTATTTTCTCACAGAACAACTTATTTGATCTTCTTTCTTGTTGCATATAACCCTAAAGCATTTTGAATTGGCACCAAACACGAAAGTTTCTTTTTTTTTTTTTTAGTAGCACTCTAAAAAAAATGCTGGGTTGTTTTAACCAAATTTTAGGTCAAATATGGACAAACCCGAACGTTGAGTAAAAATTTTGGCTGGGTTTGTCCTCATTTGACCCAAAGTTGGGTTGAAACAACCCAACATTTTTTAGATTTTAATAAAAGGAACCAGAATTCAAAGAATTGAAATGAATTCCAAATTTACAAAATAAAATGGGGCTGAAATAATGCGCTTTCACAAGATCGTGATTACATTTAGTGTACTGGTGTAATAGTTTAACAACCAACCATTGAAAAACCCATGTTTTTGACAACTAATGTGTATATTGGGGGCTGCATCCATCCTCCTACTTTGGTGGTGGGAAAAAATAATTTCTTCAAATGAATATTTCAAATAAAATACACACACACACACACGCAATTTGCACTGCTTTTGAGATTGACATAGATGCTAGAGGATAGTAAACTTGGATTAATGCTTAATAATTAAGGTTTAGTGCTTAATAATTAATTTTTTGCCCGTGATGGTGAGAAAATCATACTGACCTCTGCCATTTTCATCGAGATGCCAGTACACACAGAGTCCACTTTCATTCTGCAATAATGAAGTTGCACTTTAACAGAAGTGAAAACTGGCAGTTGTTTATAAGAAACCACATGGCCAAGCTGTATTTTTAAAGTTGCATTACGGTGTGAAAGCATCTCACCTCGCTGCTATTCCTGAATCTGAGCTGAACAGGCTGAGAAAGGTTGTGAACTTCATTCTTACCAAGCCAAATCCCCAACACGTTTCGTCCATGCAATACTGGGTCTGTCTTATATCCCTTCTGTGTCAATACCACAATGACAAATGATCCCAAGAATAAACCAATGTTGTGAAATGCAGATACCACAAGATAAATTCACTTTTAATTTGACAATTAAACAAGTCTTTGGAGGAAAGAGATAAAGTACTTCTGTGTACCTCGATGTGTGAACTGCTGCTCGCCATGAAGATGGTCTTATTGAGAAGAGACACAATCAAATTCACTGAATCCTCGTCTCCCTCCTGTTTACTTCTGCTCCTTTGTAATGCTTCGTCGGAGATGTTGATTATATATCCTTTTTCTGTATCAAATGTTGCCTGCAAAAACAAAGGCGAAGACAACATTCAGTGCGTCACCTAATTGACCTTCCTGTATCAAAAACACGTGAAGTCTTGTTTTATTATGACTGGTTTTACACCTTTATCAATCAGAATATACAAATGTGTGATGGTACTATTCAAACATTGACTTTGTGGATTGTGTAATGCATGTTAAATCATGTTTAAGAAGTATATATGTAGTCTTACCTTTGAGGAGTCTATTCTTTTAAAGAAATAGTCTGGACTTTGGCCTATTAGTCGCGATTTTGGTTGGGTGCATTGTCTCATGCCCTGTTCTATACACCTGTTAAAAACAAACTTTATGCCTTTAAGCATTATAAACCGTTTCCTGACAGCCAATCAAGCTTTCCGTTAATACATTTCTGACCTCTCAAAATGTTGAAATCATTTAAAAACTTTTCACTTAAAAAGTTCAAATAACTTACAGTGGAAGTGGAAGTGAACTATTTTTCATACAATTTTCTGGAACCTGATGACAAAACCAACTCGGACCTGTAGAAACTGATGTCATGAAATTAGTGGTGAATTGTCTTTGTAGTAAATGAAAACCCAAACCATAAAATTCAAACACATATTCACACAGATTTATAAAAATTCTTACAAACTAGCAGTGCTGGGTAGAAACTTATTACATGTAAACTGGATTACGTAGTCAGATTCGGTAACGCTTTAGATTACAGCCCGGAAAGTACTGCGTAATTAAAGCGATTTTACAGCTTATAGTGTACCTATAATGTACTTACAATATAAGTATAAGGGAACAATATTTTAAGTTTGGGGAATAAAGGGGTAACAACCAGGAGAATTAAAAAAATTATTTATACTGTAAGTATTACAGAACTAAGGGTACTTATTCTACTACTTATGATATAACAATCTTACATTTGGGAGCAAAGACGTCCCAAAACGTCAGTTATATGACTTTTTGGGATGAGAATGTGTTGATTTAGCAAGAACATTCGTTTTTGAAGTAATGGTGAACCAGTACATCCTGTATAGGCTTTTTAAAAATTACAGGGTACATATATCTATGCATTTATACAGTCATCATTTTAACAAAAGTGCACTCAAAACGAAAACTATTGCAACTTTTGCTTAATTGGGGAAAGATACTCTTGTTTCATGTGGTGGTGCTTGTTACCCCCTTGTTCCATGTAGTTACAGGGTAAGTGTGACATTGCGGGCTGTAAATTAAAGTGGTGTTACCCTCTTGTTCCATTTAGTTACTGGGTAAGTACAATAAAAATGCTACAAAACTCTACACCCATTCTTATTGATACACAATTAAAAAGGTACGCAGTGAATGTTCTCGCTAAATTGATCCCAAATGTAAGATTTTTATATCTCAAGAATTAAAAGTAGAATAAGTACCCCTTAGTTCTACTTACAGTATAAATATTTTTTTAATTCTCCTGCGGTTGTTAGCCAAATTTTACGTATTGTTTATACTAACTTACTAACTTACCCTTATACTAACTTACATGTAGGTACTTTATAGGTACACTATAAGTACAGAACGCAACACTGTAAATTCCTCTTAATTACACTGTAAAAATGAATATGCTTTATCTAATCAAAAAAAATTTGGCAACAGTTTACAAGCAATATTATTCATTAAATGTAACAAATTAGAATTGAGTGATAATTAATCAAATTAATTCCTTAAAAGTTAACCATTTAAAATGAGAAACTTACAACAACCAAAAAAACATAAATTGAAGTCACCATTATGGTGATCAGTGTTTTTATGTTTGTTTTAAAATTCTGCTTGTTAACATCAGGTGTCTTCAATGTTAGCAATATAAAATAAATAGTTCTTAATTAATCTTTGACGTCTGTCTGTTAGTGAGATATATATATATTTTTTTTTTTTGGTGTAAACTTTACTCATTTTAAATGGTTAACTTTTAAGGAATAATTTGATTAATTATTACTCAATTCTAATTTGTTAAATTATTTAATAATATTGCTTGTAATCTGTTGCCACAATTCTATTGATTAGATAAAGCATATTCATTTTTACAAAGTACTTTCCGGGCTGTAATCTAAAGCGTCACCTCAGATTCTTGTATTTAGATGCTTATAATTAATTTCATTACGTTTAAAAATACATTTTTATTGATTACATGATAACGTTATTCTCACATTGCCAGTGTATTATTCATTATTCATTCATTCTCTCAACTACTTTTTAATATTTTTAAAATTTCCTTTCTAAAAAATATTCTTCCAGGTTTGTGGAATTACATATACAGACCAGGCACTAAAAACTAAGAGCATTTGATCACTGGATTTACATAAATATATCTATATATCTCAAGGTTCAAGATTCAAGGTAACTTTATTATCCCCGAGGGGCAATTTAAATTACGGCCAGCAGTAACACAACAATAAACACAACCACAGAAAAACATAATTTAAAATTAAATTTACAGGGTATTGTTAATAATGGTGATATCTGCCTATTTAATTATCTCCTGACAAACACATTGATTATTATTTGAATTATCACTCAATTACTGAGTAATTTAATCAAGTATTACTGTTTCTGGAAGGCTTTGTCTTTCAAACATTTGTACATTAAAATTTACAAATTCACGTCATTTCATATTTGCATGCAATGCAGGGATTTCGCAACTATTATGTCATCTGAACTTCTTGACCGAATATATTTACTTGAAGTACCCCATGAGTAATCAAATAGTTGTCCGATTATATCATATGTAAAGTAATGGATTTCTAACTACATGTTTTGCCATGTAATTTGGAATCAGTAACTGACTATGTAATCTACCCAGCACTCTTTACAATAATGTAAACATAACATTTTTTTGAGTTAAAATAACTTGATTATCTATTTCATCTCCCAGTTAGGAGTATACTCACAAGTTACAGTCCATATCGTGTTGGAAAATATCCAAAGAACTAAACAATATAAGTCTCTCATTTCTCTTGTTGAATGCTCTATTCCTCTAGTGTGTGTAGGGCATCTGTTCGCCAAACTGTCATGTGATTCCTGTGGCTTCCTGTGCAAGCTGTTAACTTTATTTCATTGCGAAGTAAGGAACCATGACACAGTTACCAAGAAACTTACCGACAAAAACCTCAATGTCATCTTAAGGTGAAAACAATCCAGACATTAGCCTACTAAGTTAATAAGTAATAATAATAATAGTAATAAAAAAAAAATATAGGATATATATATATATATATATATATATATATTATTGCATTATTTGTTTGGGGTAGGCCTATTTATTTACTCTAAGAGTAAAATAGCCCGTCTTGTTGGTAGAGGCTATTTACACTATTACTGCCCACTAACTGACTGTTAATAGTGTAGGTAATGTGTGTGGCCCCATAAGGCGGCATCCATTTAATTATTTTAATAATTTACACTTTTATTGTATACCATCAAAAAAGTATCATATTCAGTGCAATCGACAATATAATCTGACAGAACAACATAAATAAAGTGGTTTTAGAAAAAAAAAACCCGAGCTTAGAACTAACTCCTCCTGGAGTGTTATTTGTTTTAAAAATTCACAGCTCCCGGTTCATCGGGTCCAATCAGCGCTGGGATCTGACTGTCAATCACAGGTCGTGCACGCGCCACCCCTCGCGAAAGTGACAATCGGATCGGCATTTTGAAAGTTGGAGATTTACGTGATTTAATTGGGTTCAAGTTGGATACAGAACTTGCAACATTTCTTCTCGACAGGTAGGCTAATTGTGCTTTATCAACCAGCTACTTTATGTCTTAGTGTTATGTTAGTATAATCTAAGTAGCCTATGTTTGCCAAATGAAATGTGTTGGTAAGGATAGCTTACGTTAGCACTTGTTGGGCAGGTTCGTTAGCTTTGTTTGCACTGAAATCCGCGTGAACGTATCGTTAGCAGGTGTATAAACGTGTCCAGGTGAAGGAATACAGTTCGGCTTTTTGGAATAATGTTGATGGATACGGATTAGACCGGCGCGTTTACATAAAAGCTGGTGCACACGCACTGACGAGCACGAGCTCTGCGGGAGGGTATCGTTGATAGTGGGGGAGGGGTTATGACAATTGTAAACATTCAAAATTTTGCCTAAAGGGGGTCCACACCGGACGAGAAGCGCAACGTCGCGTCTCGCAGCGCCACGTCTTTAAAATTTGAACACTTTATTTTTTATGAGTGTACACACACCGGCGGCGCCATTCACCCAGCGACGGCTCAGGACCGTGTTCAAAACCCTGCTGCGCCACAGAGCGCCATTTACATAGTTTTATATAAAATTTAAATTATTTTTGTCTCAAATCGTTGCTGATGGATCCTGACTTCGCCCTATGCTGCAATATACATTTAGTTTTGCATTCATTTACAGAAATCAGCTGCTTGAATGACAATATTGCTGATGTTACTGGATTTTTCAAGTGAGATTCTCAATTCATTCAGTTAATGGATGCTCTGTGGTAAAGTGTTTCAACTGCACACTCAGCAACGATTGTATTTAATTGTACAGTACAATCATAACATAAAACAAACATTATCTTCATTTCCTGCATTAAACATTACAATATTGCTGGCCATACACTGATTTATATATACAATTATACTATACTTATTGCAAGGAAACACTGCAATTTTTACATTGTGTAAATAGAATCCATCGCTATTTTCACTTAAAGGTACAACATGCTAGATTTTTTGCCACAAGGGGTCGCTAACCTCTTACAATAACAAAGGTGTATATTGATGACGTATATTCTGCATTAAGTGGAATTATGGATCTTGTTGTTTTGCTGATGGATCTTTTATGGATGAGTGAATACAGTGATGTTTTTAACATGACTGTGGTATGAAGCAGTGCGAGATTACTAGACATAAATACCAGCGCCACATGCAACGCGAGTCCAGTGGATATAAAGGAATAAGGACATTTAATTCTACCGAACTACACGCAAACTTGCTGAATTAATACTCGCATAGTTCCGTTTATTAGAGGAATTAACCTTGTGGTAACGCAGCGCTGCTTCACTTGCACCAACAGTAATCACACTAAACGTCATTTGAGTGTGTTGAATGCTATTAGTTAGGTTGTTTGTTGGCTGTATGAGACTAAGCTAGATTAACATTAGAGAATAACATACAGATCATATTCTAACTTTTCATCATGTTGAACTAAATAACATTGATTAGTTTGCTCACCATGCTCCATAGACATATACACTAGACCTCACCTTGGCTACGGCAGTTCATTGGAACGAATGCGTCAATAGAGCCGCCATCTTGAAACAGGGGAGCCCCTCCACTTTAATGCATCAGCGTCAATGTAGAAGACACAGGTCTAACGGAAATAAAATCACCATAAATCATCATGAATGCGATTTTTTTTTTTTTCTTGTTTTTTTTGGTTTGTTCCAACGGTCAGACATGTATTTATCATTGATTCCAAAAAGAAAAAATTCTTTTTTTTTTTTTAAAAACATTCTTCTTAGTTAAGATTTCATTCGTGAACATCATACGCTGCACAAAAGTCCGCCACCATCAATGAATTCGAAGTAAAGGCAGAGATAGCAGCCATACCTAGCTACTTCCTATGACAAGACCCCTGTTCCAAGATGGCGGCGGTTTTGACGCATGCTTAGAACCCCAAGTGTATATGTCTAGTGTATATGTCTATGACCATGCTCAACATTTGCTCACCTGTTTAATAAAGTAACCTGCGTCCCTAAGTCGAAGTTAGTCGCGGACGTGGAGCTCATGGCATCTCGAAAGATGTTTATCTCCGTTTTAGTCCTCTTTTTGTCTCAAAGTCTGCTTGCCATGATTCCATAATGTTTGAACAAAACAACAACAGCGTGGGCATCCTTCTAGGCATAACGGGCATAACTGACCCAGTTGTCAACATCTGTCGCCATGTTGCAGTACAAGGTCAAATCTGGCGGAAACCGGGGGTAACGCGGAAACATGACGGGGGTAATATGATGTCATTGACTGGCGACTTCTCACCCCTGCTCACACGCCCCGTTTCCTTGGTTAAAATCGCATTTTTCTCACGATTTACAAATCGTTGGAAACATTTGGGATATTGTAAGTAATCAACTAAACAAAATATAAAACATTGGCCTAGTGATTTTTGGATATTTTACTACAAAAATCCTGCATATTGTACCTTTAGTATAGATAGCATACCTCTAAGAAAATATGATATTTTCAATTTAACAGTAAATAGCAATAGCCGCTGCATTTGTTCCAGGTAGCCACATGTATTGCTTTAAAATAGCATTGTTGTAATGTGTTTCCAATATAGGCTGAAACATTTGTTTTGCATTTATATATTTATTAATAAATTCAGAACCACTTTATTTACAAATCACAGCTTTTACTGCATTTATTAGATATGATTAAGTACGATGAGATATGATGGATTAGATCAAGCTTTTAGGATGTGTAACTATAAAGAGGGAACTGCATTTCTTTAATGCGATGAACTGAAATTAGAGCAAAGGCAGTATAACTCTTAAAAAAAAAAAAAACCGTGGTGGTGAGTGTCGATGTTAAATAAGCCAGAGTGCACATCTGTGGGTCATTGGCTGGAACATGTCTTGTTGTTAAAGCATGTCAAAGGTTTTTGTAAGAAACTCCTCATTTAGAGATGTCCGCAGTGGATTTAGTCTTGGATTGAGATGTTTGCGCTCTGTTTTTCCTCATTGTTCCACACATCCACAAAAAGATGTAAAACCCTGTAAACAAACAAAAATAATGTTTCAATCATTTTTTTGGTATACGGAAAAGTTTCCCTTCCCCTTTTCTTGAGTCTTCACGTCACATAATTATACTACGTGTGGATTAACAGGAAAACAAAGAACCTGTACTTTTGTCTTTCACTTCCTCCTAGACTGTTTCGTGACTTTAAAGTAACCCTTGTTCTGACCCTAACCATGCTTTGGTAGCCAAAACAAATAGAGTTTCAGACAATGACACAATTCTTTTTATTTGACAAGTATTTCTTCCTATTTTCTGCCATGGAAAATGTATATATTTTGCATCCAGACATGGATCAATGACATGATTTGAATACACCCTTTTCTAAGATGAGCATGTTTTTAAATTCTGTATTCAAATTAATTTGGGAGGGAGCATATATAAAGTCCAAAAATATCATAAAATAATGATAATAATAAAATAAAAATTATACTCTAGGAACAAAAACCTTAAAGGGATAGTTCACCCAAAAATGAAGATTAGCCCATGATTTTGGCCTACTCACCCTGAAGTCATAGGTGTAAATGACATTCTTCTTTCAGACGAATACAATCAGAGTTATATTTAAAAATGTCCTGGCTCTTCCAAGCTTTATAACGAGAGTGAATGGGTATACTATATTTTTAGTCCATTAAAGTGCATCCATCCATGATAAAAGTCCTCCACACGGCTCTGGCGGGTTAATAAAGCCCTTCTGAAGTGAAGCGACGCGTTCATGTAAGAAAAATATTCATATTTAAAACTTTATCGACTAGAATAAGTCGATATTGTAGTCGATAAAGTCACCACATGGCGCAGTGGATAAGACACATGCCCTTGGTGTGAGAGACCCGGGTTCGAATCCACTGCGAGACGCCAATGTGTCCCTGAGCAAGACTCTTAACCCCTAGTTGCTCCAGAGGCGTGCGACCTCTGACATATATAGCAATTGTAAGTCGCTTTGGATAAAAGCGTCAGCTAAATGAATGAATGTAAATGTAAATAGCTAGCTTCCGGCAGACGGCCGTACGCAACGACTTTCGGTGAAAGAGTAACACTTGACACACAACGTAATTCGTAATTATGACCGTGGTTGCCCCTGTGTGTTTGAACCGTGAGAGGAGTCAAAGCTTACAACACTCCACCATCATACGTCATACATCGTCAAGTGTTACTCTCTTGGCGTAAGTCGACTTGTTTCGGCCGTCTGCCGGAAGCTAGTTATTTTAGTCGATAAAGTTTTAAATATGGACTTAAAACTTAATCTCTTACACGAACACATCGCTTCACTTCAGAAGGGCTTTATTAACTCGCCAGAGTCGTGTGGAGGACTTTCATCATGGATGGATGCGCTTTAATGGACTTCAAAAATATATATACCCATTCACTCTCATTATAAAGCTTGGAAGAGCCAGGACATTTTTTAATATAACTCTGATTGTATTCGTCTGAAAGAAGAATGTCATACACACCTATGATGACTTCAGGGTGAGTAAATCATGGGCTAATTTTAATTTTTGGGTGAAATCCCTTTTTGCAGGTTGGCATAATGATATATAATATTTGAAAAAAGTATGTCTGCCAAATAAAAATCATGTGGCGTGACAAACAAAGACGTGGTACAACCAACATGCAGAAAAAAAAATAGGAACCACTACGTTCACACTGAAAATAATTCAGATTTATTGCTCAGATCCATATATTTTTTTTTATTGTTTTGTTTGGCTGTCATATTATTTTTTTAAATGTTGCCAATGTCAGATTTGAGTGTGAACAGGTCACAATCTTGAACTGACCCGCATGCGCAAAAGAACAATACCAAAGGGTTTGTCCAAATACCCTCAGTTGCGGTCTTGGCTCTCTTAGAAAATTAGATCCTTGTTTTTAAGAGAGATTATTTCAACGCCTTATGTTATTTTCTACTAGAACATTTTTTTTTTTAGTAATGTAAATTGGACTCAAGTTTGGTCATTACCTCAAAAATTCCTCTTCACGAATAAGGTTAAGGAAATCTCATTTAAATTAATTTATAGAGTTTATCCTCTACTGTAACATCTGTCTGTAAAGTGCTTTGAGAAAGCTACTTTTAAAGGCGCTATACAAAATAAATATATTATTATTATTATTATTATTATTATTATTACAAAGCTATTATACAGAAATGTTAAATTATTGATTTAAAATGTTCTTTCTGTGAACGCTTCACTGAAACAATCTCTCATTTGTTTTGGTCTTGCCAATATTCCCATTTTTTTGGAATAATGTGGATACTGAACTGATGCTTATGTACCCTCTCATCTTTTTATTTTATTTTTTATAATTTTTCTTGTTGAGTCATGTGAATTATTTGTTTGTTATATGAGATGTGACACTGTATGTTACCTGTTGTTGACAATAAAGCATAAACAAAAAAACAAAAAAAAGTTGCGGTCTTGGCCAGTGAGAGCGCGTGGAAGCAAAAGAAGTAAGTGCGCGAGACTGACTGAGGTCTTAAGAACATCAAATCTTGCGGCCGTGGCCAGTGAGAGCGTGTGGATGCAACAGGAAGTAAGTGCGCAAGACTGACCGAGGTCTTAAGAACACCTAATCTCAGTTCCTGTAACTCGCAGTGATGCATGATGAGATAAGCTTAGCCTCGCGGCTAGTGTCTCCCATCATGCGTCATGTTCAGCATCTCACGTGCCCAGAAATCGTGATATGTTGAGGAAAACATTCCACTGTAAATTAGATTAATTAGGTATTGCATATAATTTGGTAGTAAAACGTTAAAATTTTGGTCACATTTTAGTTCAGGGTCCAATTCTCACTATTAACATCGTCTTTTGCCTCAATAAACTCATAATTACTGCTTATTAATACTTAGTAAGGTCATTGTTAAGTGGGTAGGATTAGGGATGTAGAATATAATCATACAGAATAAGGCATTAATATGTGCTTTATAAGTACTAATAAACAGCCAATATCCTAGTAATATGTATGCTAATAAGTAGCAACTAGGTAATATTGAATTGGACCCTAAACTAAAGTGTTACTATTTTTTTTTTTGTATTTTGTACAACTTTTGCAACTGCTTTTTATTGCTTAATTTTGGAAGCACCACAATTGTTTAACAATAGACATTTAGAAGTTTGTTTTTCAATTTTAGCTCTTCATTTTTTACAAAACTATGAGTGTTTCATTGGGTGATCAAAAGTTCCCTTTCAAGGGAACTTCGAGCTGCGTCGAACGCTGTGGGAACGTCCCTGCGTTGTGTGTCATGAAGCACGTATGGAATCAGCCCAATGGAGAGACAGAACATCATAGGCGGGTGACGTCATTGACCAGGAAACTATAAAGCACCCCAAAAACACAAGTGCATTAGCTTCTGTGCCTTCAGTCGCGCTATATGTGAATCTGTCCCTGTGTGAATATTGTTTGTCTTTACATACTCTGCACCACACAAACAATTTATATATATTGAGATATTATGGCGAGTGAACAGCAATTTAAGAAGTGTGTTCCTCCCTGCTCGCAATATCTAACGGGCGGGGATACACACGTTCTTTGTGTTGTTTGAGAGTCAGAGAGTCGGCCAAGCTAGTGGATCGATCTATGGCAGCTCTGGTGGCCACAGAAAGACATCTTTGGTTAAATCAGACGAACATTTAAGAAAAAGAAAAAGCTTTCCTTTTAGACGCTTCTCTGTCTCCCCTAGGTTTATTTGGCGATGCTGTGAATTCTGTGATCGCTAAATTCCAGGAGGAGAAAAAGCAACAGTACAGTGGGCTCACTCTCAGCCAAAATCTTCCAGTAATATAACTGACCTGAGGACAGTTATATTAGCTAAGAAAGCTTCGGCTAAGAAATCCTGACGCCATGGCATGCAGGACCATGAGGGTGGTCCCCACTGAGGCGGAAAGGTGTTCAACACTTTTTACGGTGCACATTCTTCCTTGGTGCCCTCAGGGGCCCATTCAACACGTCGGTGGTCACGCCGGCTTTACAAGTTGGCCCGTCAGATCCTCCTGTAGTCCCAAGGGAAGCTACTATCACTGAGAGCAATGTATCTTCCTGGGTATTTCAATGTGGTAGCAGACTCCCTGTTGAGGCAGGGACCGAGGCTGGGGGAATGGAGACTCCACCCCGAGGTGGTGGAGCTCCTTTGGTTGAGTTTCGGTAGTGCTGAGGTGGACCTATTCGCTTCCAAGGAGACTACGCATTGTCATCCCCTGGGGTTGGACGCTATGGTGCAGCCGTGGCCAAGGTCACGTCTGTATGCCTTTCCCCCGATTGCTCTGCTACCAGGAGTTCTGGAGGGGGTTCACCGGGACTGGGTCAGCCTACTACTAGTAGCCCCGTTCTGGCCGGCCCGAGTAAGGTTTGCGGACCTGATTTCTCTCCTGGATGGCTCTCCGTTGGAGCTCCCGCTCAGGAGATCTACTCTCTCAGGCGGGCGGCACGATATTTCACCCCCGCACGGAACTATCGAAACTGTGCGCTTAGCCTCTGAGGGGGCCAAGCTCTTAGATTCTGGTCTCTCAACCAAGGTTGTTGAGACCATCATTCACTCCAGAGCTCCATCCACGAGGAAGCTATAAGCCTTGAAGTGGAAACTTTTCACTTCTTTGTTACCCCTTTTCCACCGAAAAAAAGAACTGGTTCGGAACTGGTGCTGGTTCAAAGTTGGTTCGTAGTTGGTTCAACTTGCGAACCCGTTCAGAACCTGTTTGTTTTTCCACTGACTAGAGCGCCCAGGGAACGACGTCGTTACGTCACGGTGTACGTCACTAGAAACGCTTGCAAGTACATTGCTTTGGGATTATCTCTAACTCGTGTAGCAAGAAAACTTTAAAAACAATTGAAATATGTAAGTCTTTTAATCTTTTTGTTTGATATGCAATCTTTTCTGATAAGTTAAGTACCCCTGTCTTGTGTCTTTTTTCTTTCCATTTATTTGTTCTATATCGTGACTGTTTTCTTCTTTGCTTATGTTTCAAATAAAAAAAAATAATAATAAAAA